CGAGATGCTTTGCGGCAAACATCTCGCGTCGAATCATGTGGTCCTTGGTCATCCATGGCATCTTCTGGCGCATCTCCCAGCGCAAATGCTGGACACTGGAGAGTATCTGCTGGATGCGACGAACTCCCAGCGGCACTTGCTGGTCGAAACGTAGCTGTCGGGCAGTGAAAATGCCCTTGGAAGCCGCCGTGATGAGGCGCCGAAGGTCCCGCGGGCTAAGCTTTGGCTTGCGACCCGGCCGTTTCGCCGTGTTGTAGGCCTTCGGGTTCTTCACAAAGTTGTTGACAACCTTGGGTGAGCGCTTGAGCTTCTTGGCGATCGCTCTGTTGGACAAACCGCACTCTTTGAATGCCAAAATGCGCTCGCGTTCGCTGGGCGTCAAAACCGTCCCTCGTGGCATGGTTACGATTGCTAGAGGAGCGCGGAACGTAAGATATACATCAAAGAAGCATTCAGCGAGGCCATCGTAACCGAGATACTCGCAGCAAAGCGTGTACGCGCCCACAGAAGTCCCCGCGGTGAAGTGAGGCTATATAGTTTCGTCGGCGTACCTGTCGATTTTTCACTTTGTTGACGACTTCAAAGTGACGGCAGCTCCGTTTTGCCTCGTTGACCCCACGATTGAATCACCCAATCACAGGCTTCGATTTGACACGTCGTGCGTTAAACGAATCTTATTGGTTCCTGAAATTTTGCCTGAGGCTATAGATGTTGCCCGCACTGTATATACCCTTGGTCAAAGGGAACTATATTCACGTTTTACTATATAGAATAACGTTACTATTATTTCATCCCAGTCCATGCCTAATGACAAGTCTTCAGGGGGCTATACAACGTTCGGATAAATAAGAGGTTGGTCGGGTGAGGGAGGAGGTCTTGAGCTGGTCGCGGGCTCAGGCAAACGTCGGCTTGAGCTGGAGGCCGAGTGGGTACTCGGCGGTGAGGACCCGGTACCCGCGCTGCCCGAGGAGGAGCGATGCCGCCGCAGCGAAACGCTGGTGTATGGGCGACGTGGCGTCGAGCAGGCGGAGCCGCCGTCGGATCGCCGGCGCACTTGGTCGTAGACGGCACACAGGTGCTTGTAGGCGGCCGCGGTACCTTCAGCGGCGGATACGACGATCCGACCTTGTCGGTCGAGGTGCACGCGCGTCGCGGGGTTGCCTTGACACATGTGCGCTGCGAGTTGTGTCCACGTGAACCAGTGCCCGCTCGGGGTCATAAAGTCGCGGATCACCCGGAACCCATTGCCGGCACCGTGCAATCACCGGGCCCGACCCAGCGCGTGCTTGACACGCTTGGCGGCGTGGCGAATCGTGTCGATGGCCATGGGCTCATACGTCGTGAGCCACACGGGCATGTTGGTGACCATGTCGTATGTAGGTGGTACCGCGACGCGTTTGGCCCACGCCGTCTTGGGCCACACCCCGGATTTTCCGATTTGAATTGGATACCGTTTCGTGATACACCTTGAGTATTGACGGCCTTGTAAGGTATGAGCAACGCCATACATATCTTTGCCGGGACTTTGCGCCGAGATGCCGATACGCGATCTGTGCAGGTTGCAGCTTACAGCTCGTAATATCGCGGGATGGTTGGTTGTTAGGTACTAAGAGGGAGCTCGTGACCTTTCAACAAGACACGTGAAATCCTTTTAGGATTTTGCAGCTTTTTTACAGAGGACGTCGTGGCATGCAGTAGACAACTCGACTCGA